CGGCTGGGCACCCGGCCATCACCATGCCAGGACACGCTTTTGCCCGTCAGGGATGGCCAGGGAAGGCAGGCGTGGGCAGAGCTGTTGTGTCGGCTGAGCGGGGCCAGGATGATGCCGGCCAGGAAGGCGTCACACCGCGTTTCCCTTCCCTGGGGTTTGCACCACGGGGCCGTCCACCCCCCTGCACTGAGCCCCGCTCGTTTGGGGTCAGCTGGGGACCCGCAGAAGCCGCTTGGGTGTTTTAGCCTGGAAGGAAAGCATGTCCGTGTGTTTATGGTGTGCAGGCAGCATTGCCCGTGTTCCCTCTCCCTGCATGGCCCCTCACGTCTCGCCGGTGGGACCCCCATGCCCACCTGCACCCCCAGGTCTGCTGGAAGGGTTTGCACCGCTCCCCCATCCCAGGCTCCAGCTTGTGGCCTTGAAACAGGGGCTGCGGTTCACGGGGTGTCCCCAGGGCTGCACACGGAGCTGCGGGCAACCCAGCGATGAGTACCGTGGAGCCTGCTATAAATAAACATGGCATTGCCATGTGGTTCCCATTTCCTCCCCCAGCCAGCACCGGTGCTCAGCAGGAGCCGCCTTGCCAGTCCCCGGGGCTGGACGGAGCAGCCAAAGCCACCGGTGCTCCCCAGCTCCCCACCGGCCCGGCAGCCGCCCTGTGCCAGCACACGCCTGGCGTGCCTCTGATTAGATATGTGCCTCCAATCAGGCTAATAAACCAAACGAGCTTCCTCCGGGCCGCAAAGCCCTTTTGGGGCTGGCAATTGCAGCGTGCTCCTATCCCGTGTGCGGGAGGTGATAACCTGCCGGGATACGGCTGCTCTGGAAACAACTTGTGCAGGAGGGGATGGCACGCACCACCGGCGTGCGCGTGGCCTGCAATGCTCCACGGTGCACGCTCGGAGCGTGCGAAGGGGCTGGCGTCCCCCCCGTGAGCAGCAGGGAGCCTCACGCCTTCCCTGCACCCTTTGGAGGGATAACGAGAGGGAAATGGGATGGAAAGGTGCTAATAAGGCTCCTGCGCGGGGTTTTGCAGCCCCTGGGGCTGCCAAGGAACCCACGTGTGGGAGATGGGGGCTGGGGGGGGGATCGGGGTGTGCTTATGTCCCTGTCCCCGCTGTGCTGTGTCTCCTGTGGATGGGGCAGAGGACGCGTCCCGGGCCCCCTGCTGCCCACTCTGAGGTCAGGTCTGTGTCTGTCTCCCCGCAGGGACCTGAAGAACAACCTGATCAGCACGGTCCAGCCGGGCGCCTTCCTTGGCCTCCCTGAGCTGAAGCGTCTGTAAGTGCCGGCGCAGCCCCCCCCGGAGCGCCCGGAGCCGGCCCAGGTGGAGCGGGGACAGCGGGGCGTCCCCAGCCCTGACGGCCCCTCCGCTTGCCTTGCAGGGACCTCTCCAACAACCGCATCGGCTGGTTCGGTGCTCGCCCAGTT